AAACTAACTCATACGGTATATCTATTATATATGTTAACTATTTTTTAAATTAAAAGTTCATGTTATTGGGGGCTCTTACTACTCTTACAACAATCCATACATCATCAATTGCATCAACGATATTTGTACATACGTTGCCATCATTCTTCTCTAGACATTTACTTTCAATTGAGCCTTTGGTACAATTTATAACCCACATCAAGAGGCTGCTTGAAAATGTCCTGGTGCAGTGGGCCGCACAGTCTGGCCTGTAGCAGAGCCACGGGGGCAGTTAGCTAAAGCACAAGTTCTTGGGGGGCTGATGTTGTGGGTCTTGGGCCTCGGGCGAGCCTGCGGAGTTACGTTTTTTACTAGTGCCCGGTGCCACCGTGGGCCCCCACTCCTCTTGGATAAGCCAGCCCAGTGCTCGGTTCCTCACGGAGCGAGCGGGAAAGGGGGGGCCGCCAGGCTGACCACATGCTGCCGCCTCCGCCTCCTCCGTGCTGGATTGGAGGTGGAGGAAGTGAGCTGTGCTGGTGTCCTGGTGGTCTGATCCACACTCCTTCCAACCCAGTGAGGGAAGACATGGTTGGGATGTGAGTGAGTCCGAAACCAGAAGAGAAAGTGCCCACATGACTTGTCAGGTCCTGACCAAGCCATGTCAGGTGTTGGGAATTCCCCCCGGTTTAGGAAGGTCAACAGCTAGGCTGGGCCCCCAATCCCCACAGGATCCACTGCCCCCCACGCCTCTCTGATGGTCGGTCTGGAGGCTGAGGCAACTGGCCAGGCGGTGGCTGTCTGCTGTGGGCAGCTGGCTGAGCTCCTGGTCTCTCTCCCCAGGACATCACCACCACCGTGCAGGCCTCCTACTCCAAGAAGAAGCTCTTCCTGAAGCTCCTGGATTTCCAGTAGGTGCTGCAGACAGGGCCGTGAGTGGCCACCTGACAAGCCTCTCCCTGCCCCTCTAGTGCCTGGCAGGGGATTGGGCACTGCTGTGGGGACAGGCCTCCTTCCTTCCACAGCTAACTGCTAGGGGGATAAACACACACACAACACGCACAACACACTGACACTATCGAGTTGAAGTCGATTCACAGTGACCCTCTAGGACAGGGTAGAACTATCCCTGTGAGGTTCGGAGACTTCAACTCTTTTTAGGAGTAGAATGCCCGTCTCTCTCCCCTGGAGCGGCTGGTAATTTTCATTTGCTGACCTGCAGCTAACAGCCCAATGCGCACAACCACTCTATCACCATCCCCACCCCAACCAAAAGTACCCCAATGCTGTCCTTGTGGAGCCAATTCACAGCCATCCTACAGAACAGATTAGAGCTGCCCCATGGGGTTTCCAAGACTGTCCATTAAGGAAGCGAACTGCTGCATCTTCCGCTGGTGTGGCAGCTGATGGATTCGAACTGCCCACCTTTCTGCTAGAAACAGACAGCCTACCTATTGCATGATAAGTGAGCCTAAGGGCCCTATAGTGAGGACCCTGGTGGCTTAGTGGTTACACATTTGGATGTTAGCCCAAAAGATAGCAGTTCGAAACCCACAGCTGCTCCATGGAAGAAAGATGAGGCTTTTCCTTCCTGTAAAGAGTTACAGTGTCAGAAGCCCACAGGGGATTTCCATCCTGCCCTATAGGGTCATGGCAGTGGGTTAGGTTTGGAAGACCCCAATGAGTCTTAATTGGGGGGCAGAGGCACCAGACAGATGAAGGGGGGCTTGGGAGGAAGCGGGACCCCTGGAACAAAGGGGTGCGGCAGGGCATGTCCAAACAGCACCCTCTGTAGGGCTCTTTCTTTTGTAAAAACTGTTTGGTGTGGTTTGGGTGAAAGGCTACAATTTTGAGTTTTCCATTCACCGATTCATGCACATCTTGTTTTGTGACATGGACCACAATCCCCACAATGCAACAGCATTCCTCCCACTTCCTCCCTGAGTTTCTCACCTCTATCCATCCCCGCCCCTTCCTGCCTTCTGAGCTGCGCCCCGGGCAAACACTGGCCTCTGGTCTTGTGTGGTTGCATGTTCGAAGGAGCATGCCTCTCTGGAGTTGTTCACCTATGGGCGTGTCTAGTGTGTAGCTGAAAGTTGATCCATGGGGGTGAGTTCAGTTTCAGGCGTGAAGGGTTTTTTAGGGCCTTAGTCTTGTGGGTTCCACCAGTCTCTTACCAGACCAGTCACTCTGATCTTTTTTCTATAGGGCTCTTTCAAGGAAGGTCTTAAATGTTGGACAGAAGGCCTTAGAATTGATGCTAGAGTTT